TAGGAATTTAGAAGGTTAAGAGTCTTTTGTTCTCTGTCGTCTCTGTCCAGCCCTGCGCGACACAAATTACTCCTTAAACACTTCTTCGACAGTTTCGCTGATCTAGTTTCCTCGAAAATTGGAAATCTCGTTTCTTTTATAACGCGCACGAAATGGTTTGATCAATTAAGAAGATGCAGACTGGTGCCTCTCAGCGTTATCACAATGAGCTCATGAATCTTTTGGAAATCTACAGACGCCCTAAGGGGTCAAAACATACTTTGATGGAATGCTCGAAACAGTCATCCTCATTTCTTGTTTTCAGCAATAGGTCTGAGGACTCTCATTATTTGGTGAGGCCTAGTAGCTTCACGCATGCCTTACCTTCGTTTCCCCGCATTCGCTTGGACATTGCAGATAAGGCTCGAAAATGTGAAACGAAGTGTGACAATTAAGTAATGAGACTGATTGCATAAAAATCGTATATTACAAAATTATTTTACAACTCTGCCGTTTAAAGTATTTCCCTTAGGCAGCTATACAACGATTCCATAGTGTTTTCCATACTTCAAAACATTTCTAGAACGCTTCAACTGGGATGTCCGCGAGTACCCTCGTCACGGCTGGATGTCTTCAATCGACTAAGAATGGGTTACTTTGACCACCGATTAAGTTCCAGGGAACAAAAATAGTCACGGGGTGATATATCGGGCGAATAAGGAGGTTATTGAAACACGACGATCCCTTTAGAGGCAAAATACTGGAACGCGCTGAGGGCGGTGTGGCAGGGCGCGCTGTCGCGATAACGAATCCATTTACGAGCGTTGTCAAGGCCCACGGTGTTGACTCGTTTTCCCAAACCTTCGAGTACTTGGCGATAGCAGACTTGATTTACGGTTTACTCCAGGGGAATAAATTCTTTGTGGCCGGTTCCACGGCTATCAAAAAAAGGCAATAATCATTGTTTTTCCATTTTCGTGGCGATCATCACGAACACACGTTTACTTAACACGACACAGACGGCGAACTAAACTAGCTAGAGCTATGGCAAATAACAGAAGGATGCCGGGAGAAGTGAAAGAGAACTTCAAGGTCGCAGGGTTACCACAAAAGCGACAATATAATTAATCTTATTACTTTATTGTCACACGTTGTATCTCCCTGCTCCGCTTCGGTACTTGAAAGTATATATTATATTATATTTTGCAATAGATATGCCTCTGTTCATTTGGTAGAGCGCCTTCACTACTTGGCACTATTTTTGATAAGGAATTGATATCGCAATTAGCTCCAATGGTATTTTGTTTCGAATAAATCGGTGTCAGATTAACTTCCCAGAAGAAAATTATTTCTTAAATTTTATGTAAATCAAACAAGAAATACAAATTTTTCGAATGGGTCGGTCCTGGTTCCACTTCCACATGGCAATAAGGGAAATAGGCAAATAGTTGCCTGTGTGCCAAATTTCATGTACATCAAGGGATTTAAAAATATAATTGATTTGTTCGAATAGACCGGTATCAAGTCAACTTCCCTGATAATATTTTCTTATCGGATGCATACGTTATACGCCGAATACATTCTCCAAGTTTTAGGTCTCTGCGATCGATGGCTTAGATAGTGGGTTCATCCGTCATGCATTCAGTACAAAACCATGTACATTTGTACTAAATATACTGCGTATATATGTGTGTATATAGATTATTTTAATTGATTTTCTATGATCGCAGGGCGGTTTGAATCAGGAGTCGAGCCCTGGCCTGAATGTTAAGCACTGCCAATCACTCGACTATTGCGGCCTCCCACTCAAATGATATTTTTTGGTTAATATTTTCAATAAATTTTTAGTCATAATTAGAAAGCTTTCATTTCAAAAATGTGGAGTAAATTCCGCTTTAGTGTGTGAATATCAATTTTAATTTGAGTTTAGAGAATAAGTATTTATTTATCATATGCGTATGTTATATGAATTAAATTCTTTATAAAAAATTGGCAGGAGTATAATAAATCAAAACAGAGATTAAAAGAGCAACCAATTTTCAGTTATAAAAATATTTATTAGATAAAAGTCGTCGAACTAGGAAGAGAAAATGAAACTTACAATTTATTTCACCTTTTTCGCCTCCAGCAAAGGTTGGCGGTCTGATCGGCGTATTTATGGGAATTAGTTTTATTTCGCTGACGGAAATTATTTACTACTTGTGCATACGATCCAAACGATCGAAATGTGAACAAGATAAAAAGATTTCCCTGGGAAAATCACGCGTTCCTTTGGCAAAGAGATCAAGAATGGTTTTTGTTAATCCTTACAAATTCTCTACGAATTCACCACAATCCCTCAACAATCCTGCTGCAAGACGTCAATTTGTGGCACATCATTGATTTTGTCAACACGATGATGAACCATGAAAAATTTAACTAAGAAATTTATTCATAAAATTAAAAAATTTTTATTATACAAAAAGAGAAGGAGAAGTTCAATCCTTCTTCACACAATTTATGGTTTGACCACCAATAGGAAGTACACGACTTTATTTGAAAACTACAGTAGTAAATATGTAAATGCGTTCGTCAAGGTCACCTTATATTCACCATATTCACCAAATATTGATATCAAAGTTATTATTCGTCACCTGCTGACATCTGATATGTAACATTTTTTTCTATAAACAAATATACCGACATACTTACATACTTCGTGGGAATGTGAAGTGGGGGAAATACACTCTCATCTACGTTGACTGAAACTTGAAGTGATGAGCAGTGATGCGGTGAGGAGTTAAGGTGTGTGAGTGCAATTTCATTTCGACCGTTCAATAGCGTGTCCGCAAACATTTTACAAGCATTTGATTAAGTATTGGCTAACGGTAAATTTATTTTGCGCTGCTTTGGCGGATATTTAATGCCTAATGACATTTCACATACATACATATATGTAAGTCCTTTTAAATTATTACGACTCGAGGGCATTTAATTACAGTTACAAATCGGTACTCCTTGGGGCAGCATGAATTTTTATACTGAAGATCGTTTGTTACAATTAAAACCAAAATTCACACCTGAAAAGCAAAAGTCAACTGGTGAGTAGAAATGTCGAGGTCTATACATAGATGTGACGACGTGTGTAGCATGATTTTTTATTATTTCTAGTTCTCCAAAAACATAAGAGCAGTGATTGCTCCAGCGAGGAAATGGACGATGAACACCTTTGTACTAAAGAAGCTGCAAAGAAAAGCGTGAAATATTATTTACAAAATTCCACTTTGCATGGCTTGAAATATATTGCTGAGGAGAAAATAACTTTACCCGAAAGGTTAGTAAAAGAGCTTATGTTGTTATTGTTGTTGTAGCAGTTGGATAACCCCACTTAGGAGCAGGTCAGGTCTATGTCATTGAGGACATTTAACGGCAGGTCTAGGAAACTATACATACGACGGGTTCGCACCAGAGGGAAAATAAGGGTTAGGTGAATTGACTGTTAGGGGCATGTAAAGAGATGGTGGTTAATGCCGAGCGAGGAGTTCTTTTGCATTCAGGACATACAGTTGAATACGTCGACTATAATTGACTATAATATACAGATCTAAGTTGTGACAGTTTTATGCGGGACTCTCGGGGCATGTCGATCTCTTTGTCAAAAATAATTCATTCACTGGAAGAAAGTTCAGGAAAGTGTTCACGAACTCTCGGTGAGTGGCTTTTAATGTCTGTTTGTAAGCCGTCCTGTCCATCGGTTATTTTAGTTGGTGCTGCATGCAGTACTTGAGGTTGAATACCCCGTTTCTTTTGTGTCTGGGTGGTGGTTCAGCGTCTAGTAATTGTCCGTTTGTGTGATGCTCTGGCGACATCAGAAGGATGACTGTCATGGTCCTAAGGGTGGATCATATCAGTATATCATAGTTTACGCTCCACCGGCCCATTACCTTGTGGGTCGCCAGCAAGACTTTTGTAAAGGTGGTTTGAGGATCTTGTTGCTTCTCAGGAGTTTTGTGGCAATTGCAGTCGTCTGCAGAGTGAAGTAGTGCAGACTGTCGAATGTGACTCCCAGCTTTGGAAGGTTCACAGTCGGAATTTTTACTCCTTCGTTGAGCTCGTGCAGAGTGTATCCGAGGATTTTGCTGGTTATAGTTGTAATTGTTTTGCAGCGAGACAGTGGGAAAAGTTGTTAAGATAGCAATTCATTTTCGATCATGATCCATCAATATCCTGGCCGGATGCTAATATCGAGCAATAACCGGCGTATCAGGTCAGTGGAAGAGGGAGTTTCGAGATATAAAAACGAAACAGGAGTGATGTGGGGCCAGTATCATGCGTGATCCCTTGATAATGTTTTTGAGTTTCGATGCTTGACCTCGAAATTCTACCGAATATTGACGACCATTCGGGTAGCCCATGGCCCACCTCTTCAAGCCTGGCGGTAATGAGCATTCCCCAATGTCCGATAGAAGCACTGAATGGTTGACCATTCAAAAGCTTTGATAGATCCATTGCTACCAGTGCAGTTGGCGCGGGTTCGGTATTGATTGAGGCCATTCCTTGCATGGAAAAATCAAGCGTCGCGCTGGAGTTTGGCAGTTTTCACAGTTGGCGGGTTACTTGCTCGACCAGGCGATATCACCGAATGAAATTTCCAATCCGTGATAAGGATATTTCAGGGATCGACGTGACGAATGGATTCGCGCCTAGACGCTAGAGCCGCCACTTCCATAACAGAATGGGCGGATTTCCACAAATCGACCTGCTGAGATAAAGCGGACGGCAGAAGACACGACAATTCGTTGCTAAAGTTAACAAACGACCGGTGATGCACGTAAACGAACTAGGGAGGTATGTCAATCGAGATTTGTATGGGTAAATTATCCGATGCTGGGGTCAGTACAGGTCCTTGGGCTATGCTGTTTATCAAACCATCACTCGCAACTGTATGTCAGACGTGATTTGATTCAGCTTACCCCCAACTCTAGTGCCATCGTTCATAGTTCAGCCAGCTCAATTCCCCTACGGTCATTTGATATGCTGGAATGCCAAAGTTCTTGGTAAGCGTTAAAGTTACCCATTATTATATCCAATTGGGCAAAAAGTAACTGAAGGGATGTACTTGTTTAATATTTCGAACTCGACATCCTTCGGTCGATGTCACCGTCGATAATATGATAATATGAAGATGATGTTTTATCTGACCAGGCTCCTTTAAACTTTCCCTGTCCCTGTCAATATAAAATTAGCGACATCGGTCAAGTCATTTTGGCACAAAGGAACCAAACTATTTTATATATTTATATGATAAATAAAATACATAAAACATAATTTTTTATATTTACTGTTTTCTTTATTGCATCCATAAACAGAATTTTCTTCGGGTTCTCTTTTATCGGTGTTGTTATTTTATCTGGATTCTTCATATCTAAAATCTACGTTAAATGGTCCGCTTCGCCGATAATAATATCGACTAGTGCCAGGCAAACCCTTGCTAGTGACGTACCCTTCCCCGCAGTAACCATATGCAACCTTAATCAGGCATCCAAAAGTAAAGTCCAAGGCATACCCAAGTAAGTTATCCTGCAATGTGTTTGGAATGTGAGTTGGAATGGCTATAAGCAATCCTTCTATGCGATTTGTGTTTAGTTCTTTTTACAGACAGAATTTAAACTATTCGCTGCTCATGAGCCTCTGTGGTCAAAATCAGCTGGGCGAATCTTTTAATGTTCGAGGAACCTGGTCAAACTTCAAAACCATACTAAAAGCGGTAAATAACAGTGATATACATATTTATAGTTATTTTTGCCCAATTGACAAAACAACCTTAGGTGGCCCAACCCTGCGATGAAATGCTTTTGTACTGTAGCTTCGGCGCAAAGCAAGAAAATTGCTCAGTGATTTTCAACTCTGCCCTGACTGACGATGGATTATGCTGCACATTTAACGCTTTGGATCCGATTTTTATGCAACGAAATTTCAGGTAAATGAACTGATTCTGTGGCCCACTACAGCAATTCAAGTTTATTCTTTTTTTTCGAAATAAAGTGATGAGGATCGTATCTCGCCGAAATTCTCTAACCATTTCGTACCCATGGATTGGACGCCTGAGAGTGGTTATAATAGAGATTTGCCAAAAAACTATTATCCACGAGTTTCGGGTGGCACAGGCAGCAGACTAGGTCTAACCGTGGTTTTGAATTCTTCAGCTTCGGAGTATTACTGCACGAAATCTAAAAGCATCGGTTTCAAGGTATTCTCTTTTAAATAATTAAAAGAGATTTGTTTCAGAATTTTTATTCAACCAAACACAAGATTCTAGTGCATAACCCCGCCGAGTTGCCAAGAGTAACTAATTATGGATTTCTAGTCACAGCCGGACGAGAGGCACGTATTCCCATCGAACCCATCTATGAGGATGCGGTACCCGCCATACGGTCTATTCGTAAAGAGAAACGGCGTTGCCTCTTCTCCGACGAAGGCGATCTAACCTACTACCGCACTTACTCTCGCCGGAATTGTGAAATCGAGTGCGAGGCGAAAATATTGATTGACAAGTGTGATTGTGTTTTATACTATTTGCCACGCATCAATGGCTCAGCACGGATTTGTGGACCCAATGACAATCCATGTACGAATGAGGTACAAACACAAATCGAGTCGTCGGACGAGAAGGTGACTTGCGCTAATTGTTGGCCAGCTTGCTTTGAATTGAGCTACAAGGTAAGAGTAACTTCCACGACAATCTCTTATGAGCAATTTTTGACCGCCGACGAATGGCCGCCTGAGCTGTTCGGCTCAGCTACAAACTTCACAGAAATATCCATCGTAAACTTCTACTATTTATCAAACATATTGCGCAGCACGACAAAGTCAGAAATGTTCGGCTTTACTGAGTTTCTATGTAAGCTGTTTTAACCTAGAAAAAAACATAAATCAAACTCAAATTTTTCTACGTATTCCAACAGCTAACACTGGTGGACTATTGGGCTTATTTATGGGCTTTAGTATTTTCTCGGTTATCGAAATAGTCTATTACGTCACAGTCCGTCCTTATTGTGCCAGTCGCACCATGCAGCTGTCACGTCGTCGGCGGTTACGGAACATGAAAGTAATTGTGATATACATACATATGCACATGCGCACATGAATCTGTAATATTTTGTGTAATTTTTTCTTAATTCCAGTGGATGCGTGCTATTCGGAGCAAAGTTAGGCCAGAGAGATATGATGGCAGTTCAAGATTCTGGGCGAAAGATGGAAAACAGAAGAAGTTTTTTAATATCGAAATTATCGAAATAACTTAAATCATATTTTATTACAACACAAACAAAATAAATTTAATAATGATGGCACTTTACTGTATCCCTACTTGGAGTGAAGTTTACAAAAAAAAAATTTAAAGCTAACATAATTTTGTATTAATAAGTTTTCGTTAGCGCAAAGTAATTAAATGAATACCAAATCAATTTTATTATTTCTCTCCCACTATATAACAGTGATTTCTGAATTTCGCGGCCTTACTTACACTAAGTTGAATAAATCTCTTTCTTATATTGTCGTTGAATCTTAATAATTTGTCTTGCATTGAGTGTTTAATTGGATAGTAGTATTTATTTATTTATTTTATAAAGAAAAATAATTGTACAATAACTATCTTACTTATGAACTAAAGCACTGGCTGGTATGGCTTTCGGCCTTACATATAATCACAAATATTATAATATATACATAAGGTGGAGAAGTGTTAATAGTGAGATATCAATCTTGACAAGAGTATGGTTATACATATATGTGTGTATTTGAAAAGTGTGACGAACGTGTTGAGATGAACTCTAAGTACTATTAGTTTATAGGCCAAGAAGAACTTATAAATAATGTTAATGATTTTTTCATCTTGCCTCCTGAGGAGTTCCGATGGTTTGGTGCATTTAAATGAGGTATTTCTAATTACATTTAATTGCACGCAGTCATCCAGAATATGTGAAACGGTTACATACATAGCCGACCCATTTAGAGAAGAACCAAGATTGCAAGTGACTGAATACAAATTTTTTTATGTCTTTTTCGATGTAATAGTCTAGCAGACGTATTGGTATGGACCTACCGGCCTTTGCTCTTTGACCAGCATATTCGTTCCCTTTGATACCAACATGCCCAGGGCCAAACATGATTATTATTGATTTTTTATTTTGCCAGAGTACCTCTCTGATACTGGAGTTGTGGTAGGAATCACTGGTGTGCTGGTATAGTATCTGGAGCCTTCTGTTAACTGGAACAAGGCCCGGTTGCTTCGAGATATTAATATCTCTATACACATGCCGTGGTATTCTCTTTTGGATGCTTGAGTAAATCGCTTATAAGAACGGAGTCTGGCAAGTGGGAATGAGGGAGTAATATGACCAAGTTGTTCGATGTAACTTAAGATGCGAGCGATAATAGATGACCTCTTTGCACAGATTTTATTTTGTTGTTGGAGGACAGATATTCATTTCTGCAAGTTAAAATTTTCCTTCTTAGCATCATTGAGTTGTACAATACTCTATATTGAATTTCAAATACACCAGCTTCCGCGAAATAGGAAATGCTTCTGGCTTGTGTGGTAGGGAGATTGTAACAGTTGCAGATGTTTTTTAGCACAGTATTCATATTCAATTTTGGCTAAAAGTTGTACTCTTGTTAAGTTTATGATTAAGTTGTGCTTAAGATAGAAACAAAAAATGAATGAAACTTAATAATGTTTGGTTTAGAAAATAAACTCATTCTTATATATTTACAATGTTGCTTAAATGTTCATTTCTTATCAAATATTACTCCTAATATCTTGAATGTGTCAGTATTTAGGACGGAGCTTTTGTTGACTAAAATCTTAGTCCCAGAACCTTGAGGCCAATCGATTAAATCAGTTAAGATTTTTAGAAAGATTGTTCTGGTTACTGTTAAATCTTTAACTTTTGAAAATATGACAATATCGACTGCATAAACAAATTTGTGAAATGCAATAGAGGAGAGGATTACTGAAGGGGAGATTCTTGTGGGATTCCATTAAAGAGGGGAAAAATGTCGAATGTCGGTTATTGACGCTAACAAAGAACTTTTTATTACTAAGGAAAGATTTAATGACATTAAAGATCTTTGGTTACGTTTTTCAACGTTTAAGTTCTGAGAGAATGACATGGGAGCCGATTCTATTATATGCCTTTTCAAAATCTAAGCTGAGAAGTGAAACTTTGTTTCTGAATGTAAGATCCAGTGAAGCATATTCTTTAAAACTTATAAGAGAATCTAGTACATTTAAGCCTTTTTAAAATTCGAACTGATGAGGGTTAGTTAAACTGTTTTTTTCGGAATTCCAGAGTAATCGGCGAGAAACGGTTTTTTCAAATACCTTTTATAAACAGGTGAGGAGGGAAATGGGTCTGTAATAAGCAATGGAAGAACTACTTTTACTAGGTTTGAGAATTGGCAGTACTGTTGCAATTTTCCAATCTTGAAGGAATACACCTTAATCCAAAAATAAGTTGTAAAGATCGATGGGTCTTGGGAGTGAATGAAAAAGACATGTCTCCGATTGTCTGAAGAGGTAATCCGGAATTTCATCGAAAAATCATCTTGGTTGATCAGGCTCACTTCCGCTTCGATGGTGACGTCAACAAGCGAAACTGTTGCACTTGGGCTTGGAAAACCCAAGGTTTTTTGTTGAAAAGCTTCTCCATGCTAAACGCGTAACTGTTTGTTGCGGTTTATAGTCAGACGGGGTCATTGGACCTTGGATTGGCCTATCAAGGAATTATTAAAGATATTTTAGGAACGAAATTGGATGGGTTACTTTCAGCAAGACAGCCCGACGTGCCACACGAGCCACGAAACCCTCAATTTTTTAATTAAAAAGTTTCCGGACTATGCCATCTCTCGAAGAGTGATCCCAATTGGTCGCCCAGATCTTGCTTTTTAACACCTTGCGACTTCTCTCTTTGAAGCCACATGAAATATAAGGTCTACACCAACAGGCGATTCCAGATCTCAAGGATAGGAGCAATGAAACTATTCAGGGCATAAAGCTTCCAATTTAGTGATGGAAAATTTCATAAAAATGATGCGGTCCTATAAGCGTAGTCATGGCCGCCATTTGGTTGATACTACTTTCCATGGCATATCTTCCTCTTTATATTGAAATAAAAATCCGATAAGTTATCTAAAAAAATTACCAATCTCTTGGAATATCAAATGAACATCTCTTATTGGAAAACCCTGTACAATATAAATATGTATATATATATGTATATATATATATGTAAATATGCATTCTATATAATTTAATTTGTACCTGCAGCTGCTGTTGGCGGTCTTATTGGTCTATTTTTGGGTTTCAGCTTCATCTCGATTGTCGAATTGGTTTACTATGCCGTTATACATCCCATACGCACTCTGTTGCACTTCCGGTTCTCAAAGAAGCCGGATATTGCGGAAACGTGGATGTGTACCCACAAATGGCCACAGTTCAACGTTATAAGCGTTTGCGGAAATACCTACGACTACGAGCGATTCGCGGCAGGGCCAATAGGGCAGCGAAGCAAAAGTCCGGTTACAAGCGACTGTTCAAAAACGTCATTGAAAGTATCACGGAGAATTTGGAAAAGGAAAACGAAATTAGAAAATAGATACAGAAGGATGAGGAGGAATGGAATGGCGTTAAATTAGTTTTTCCGAAATGCATACGAAACATACATACAAATGCCGTAAATAATAGTGGTCAAGAAAATTGCTTAAAACAATATAATAATAATAACACTCTTGAGATTCTCATATATACTATTTATATATATGTAAGGATGTACATACATATACGAGTTTGCGTATGAAGTTCGAATTTAACTTCTTCACTCTATCAAACTTATGTATGTGTAGCAATTAAGTCAATTTTGTCATTGGCAACATTTACATACCACTTTTGGTTTAATGGACATATATTATATTATATATATATATATTTATACATATTGTTACTTACCAAAATGTGAGCTTTGAATTGTTATTATTTTTGTGCTAACGCCTGCAATATATTATACATAATTATACACATACACGCACGTACAAGTTCACAAATCTATAAGAAAATGTTTAAATTTTGCCTTTGATGTCAAATGGCATCGACGCTCCGCGGCGGTATCGGTGGTATTGCTCAGACGACGGAAAACCCAGTGCAAGTGTCGGTAATAATGGAGCCAATAAAGAAGAAAGCACAAAATTTCATTGAAATCAAGTGCCCAAAAATTAGAACTTTCATAGGGAAAAACACTAAAGACTATTGTAATGACACCACCATACATGGTCTTAAATATATAGCCAATAGCAGTCTGTTTCCTCTAGAAAGGTGAGAAAATTAAATGTTTAAATTTAAAATTCCTTGTATGAAAGACTAAAATTTAAAAAACACAAATTGCACGGTCTTGATCTTAGGACCTTTGATCTGTAATTGTATGATAACAAAATGTGGAGTAATTTAACTTTTTTCTTTCAGAATATTTTTCGCATGTTCTTTTGTGATTGTTGTGCTTGGTGCAGTTTTTTTCGTGGATAAAGTCTATGAAAAATGGAATTATACACCGGTTATAATGAGCATAAATTCTCAGCCCACTGGAATAACTCAAGATCCCTTTCCGGCAGTTACTATATGCAATTTGAATTTGGCTTCTAAACAAAAAGTTGAACGGTTTTCCATGTAAGTTTTTAAGATTTTAATGCATGTTTACTTACCAGAGCTGTGAAAAGTGCACTTATGTTCTAAGACAAAGTTTCATGGTAATAGTAAATTTCACCTTAATCTAACAAATTTGGTTCAAATACTTGGAAATGTTATCGTAAAAGTATGTATATAAATAAATCTTATTTCATTTTTACCCGAAACGGAAAGCTCGTATGCGTTAAAATTGAATTAAAATTGCTGTTAATAGCATAGCAGAGCAAGCAGTCATGCTAAAATTAATGTTAACGCTGAGTCTGTTTTGGTTTGAATGATAATGATTTCATTTCTTTTTAATAACATGGCGCGATTAGTAAAATTTATCTGTTCTAAAGTATTGGTAAAATAATTTTATGTTTAATTTTTTTACTTTTTCGTTAATGTATAATACAACGCTTCCTAAATTTATGGAATGACCAGATTGCCAAAGGACGCGCAAGGTCAATTGTGTATTTGCATCTGTTCCTACTGATCTCTGGTAGCAATATTAACGTAAGCCCCCTAGTGTGGGCATCCATTGGAAACTATTTGCATCTATTAATTTCAAAACGAATCAGAGGGATTCAGTGGGTTGCTGTGGCCACGAAAAATTCTCTTCCTTAATTTTTCCATTTTTTTCGCCAAATAGCAGCCACAAATAAGAAATTCATTTTATATAATTTTTCTCCAATAACAAACAACTTAAGGATTCACAAATAAATTGGTAGTAGTGACTTACTTTTTGCTCGAATTTCTCAATTCCAATAGAATTGAAGAGAACGCTTTTGTTCCCGAACAGGAATTACAGAGTGATCCATTTTGAGGTTTTGTAAATAAACATCAATAGAACGCATTTAAAATAATGTTTTTCAGTGATATTCTTTTTTTGTTAAATATTTTGAACTTTGGCGTTAAATAAGAAATATCACATTATTCAAGTGACAGCCTCGTGAATTTTTGCTAACCTCGATTCCTTTGAGATAAATTTCGACCACTTTTTCAATGTAGGACTTCAAATGACCAGGAGCTAAAGCTCAACTGGTTTTAGTAGGAAATTAACATCGCCAAGCCGAGAGATTACGCGACAAGCACCCATATTTACTGCGCTGTGAATGGTCAGCTGGCTTCAGTTGTTGTTGTAAGCTGGAGTTTATATGGATGTAGGTGTAAGTCCAAGTGCTAAATACACCATAACTTTCCGGAAGAAAGTACCATTTCTCGAGAACATCGGAAAATAGCCTTACTCGAGTCTTCTTTTTTTTGCTTGAAGTGTCATGCCAATTGAATAGGACCCTGGACTGGCAAGAAAATTTATACGACAACCCCACAAACGAAATGTTGGATCAGTAAGCGGAAAATGAATTGGCGAAGGAGTTCTTCGTTCGTCTATCTCTTATATGTAATTTAATTTGACGCGTTTTTTATTAGAAAATAAAAGCCAAAATTCTTGAATTCTTGGCTAGAATACAGAAGAAGCGTTAAGAAGTGTACCAACCTTTTACAATTCTGGTAAACAGCGATCTTCAAGTTGAAGATGCGTGTAAAAACTAGTCAAAGTTTATATAAAACATCTTCTTAGCTATTCCCTTGAATATACTATGATACAAATGATGTGCAGACATCCTGTCAACGAAACTATTGCTAATGAAATTACCGACTGGAGCAACTTAAGAGGTTTTGTTTCAGAGGTAATGATCGTCAAATTAACACCTGCTCGTATGTGCGCTGTAGTGAATCTCAAATACCAACCTTCTTGTGTCCTTATCCCGTCCGTCGCATTCTTGGCCGGTGGTGATGTCAGCTTTTAATCCTACTTGGACACACGCTAGCTGGGAAGCGTCACCTTTCTAATTAAGAGACAGATCATCAATGCCTCTCACCCGAGGATTTAGCTACCTCTCGGCACTAAATATCATATTTCTGACATAAAGGAAAAAGTTTCTCATAAAAGTCCACCAGCCGTCCGAAGACTACTTGGAATAAATTGTTGTTCTCTCCATTTGTAGCATAAAAAAAGCAGGCGCTACAAGTGTAGCTCGACCAAAAATTATGCCATTACTTACAAATAAAATTATTCCTTTTAAGATAACGCTTTGTCAGAGACTACTGAGTTATGCTCAACCATTGTACAGCTTCCAGAGTAGGAAAACTTAGCGTCTGTTTTCCGTTTGAGCTCACAACTGAGAACACCTGATCGATTTCGATTTTCATTTCAATTGCCATTCGTGGCCATATTTCACTATAAGTTCAGAGTTGAATGAATGATTTTGAAGACCTATAACAGAAACCAACAAGGACTATGGAAAACCTAAAAGTTAATTTATAGTGGACGAACAAATATGTTCTGCGCAGTTAGTTGCTGTAGTGAGGGGACCATATTGAAAAATCTGTTGAGAATTATCTGCTATCCCTGCTAAACATAACAAATGCACATCCTCTTGTCATAAAAATTGAGTCTCAAATTTCGATGGATGAGGGGCTTTTTACTGTATGAAAAAGGTCATATACATACAAACAGGTGTTAACTATTCGAAAGCCTTGAAGTCATGAGTTACGCTAATAACATTTCCTTTTTAAAGTAGATCTCGCAGACATGTAGTGAAATGCTGATCAGCTGCAAATACGGTGGAGTTAAGTACAAATGTACTGAAATTTACCAGCCCGTTATAACCAACAGCGGTTCATGTTGTGCTTTTAATATGGTTCATGGAAAGTTCTTGTTCAGAAGGTTAATTAAAGAATGTATTTATTTTAATTGTTTACTTATATGACAAAAATATATGCAGAAACTCAGAGTGTGCTAACTGCACAGCTCAAACACCGAAGGGCACTGAGCACGTTGAATGGAGTCCAGAGAACGGTTACCAGAAAAATTTGCCTCGAAGTTATAGTCCTATGCCTGCAATTGGCACGGGCGAAACATTGGGCTTGTCCGTAACACTGGATGTGCAAGCTGATAATTATTACTGTTCATCTGCGAGTAGCGTTGGTTTCAAGATACTATTACATAATCCTCTTGAGGTGCCTAACATGCGGGAAATCGGTTTGCCACTGACGCCCGGTCGTGAGACAAAAGTCCGAATAAGAGCTGTTAAAACCGATTCGGAACAGGGCTTGCGTTCAATGAGTAAAATGTCGCGGAGATGTCTCTTCGCCGATGAAAAACCTTTAGAGTACTATAGATTTTATACACAACGCAATTGTGAGGTGGAGTGTTTGGCGAAAATGCTGTTGAAATATTGTGGTTGCGTAACACATTTTGTGCCCTTATTTTTGGAGAACCAAAACCAATGTGGTATTTACGAGATGTCCTGCGTGATGCGTATACACCTGCAATCGATGGTTACAAATAATGGCAAGGGTTGTCCCGAAGTCTGCCTGCGCGGTTGCTATGATTTGACTTACCTACCGGATTTCTTCACAATACCGTTATCACATTCAGGATTTCAAGTCATTAACCAAGGCATTAAGAATATGAGTAGTGCCTACGTAGAGAAAAATGTTGCAGTAGTAAATATTTACTTCAAGGATGTCGCGTACAGAAGCAGCAAACAGGCGGAATATATTGGAATAACGGATTTTTTATGTAATTTCAAACTGAAGAGCAAACTTATCGGGAGTTCTTACTTAAAAAAATCTTTCCTTTGCAATTTTTATTTCAGCAAATATTGGTGGAATCCTTGGACTATTCTTTGGCTTTAGTTTCATGTTCTTAGCGGAATTCATATTCTATTTTCTTTTGAAGCCGATTCGGGTGCTGATTGTTAAATCTTGGTCAAAACGAGACATAAAAAAAGGGATTTCCAAAAAGTTGAGGCCATTTGAAAAACTTTCGAAACCATCCAACCAACTGAATTCAAGTGAACAGATAGAAGCTGTTGATAGTTATTTAAAAGGTAAAAACCACACAGATATTTTTCATTCGAAAGGAGAGGGTCTGCCACAAAAACCTAATATCCCATGGCAACTTGGTATGGAATATACACCTTAAAAATTTTTAAAATTTATGTTTAATGTATTTTTAATATGTATTTATTAAACAAAATTATATTGCACAAATAAATAAACAATTTACGAGCACCGTAATTATTCTTTTATTAACTGCAACAATATGAGGAAACGAATAAAAGCGATTGAGATATTCGAAATTGCGACTGTAAGGAATTGAAGCATCATATATTTAAGCATTTGGAGCCGGGGCTTGGGAAAAAGCGTAAGATTCAATAACACCATAACCAACTTTTATTGGGATCTATCAGCAAATAGTCCTGCTAAATATGGGTAACATAAGGCAATGATCAATTTCCTTATGATAATTTTGGAAAGGATATGTAAGAAACGAAAATAAGATCCACAAAGGTTATGTAGACAGGGATAAATCTAGGGGGTTTTGAGCCCCAGATGCGATTGTCCGTTTTGCTAATTGACATCGGTCAAGCTCTTCTTTATTTAAAAAGTTAGTTTGAAGTGAATTTTAATCCCTCCAATGCGTTGTTCAAGTGTGTGACGTTCCATTTTTCTACCGGAGGAAGGCTATTCAAAATAACACGTCTTGTTTGAAAATCCTTTATTCATACTAAGTTTACCAATCCAAATATCTGAAATGTGTATAATACGGTCTTCTCATCTACAAAAATCCATCATTATTTTGCTGAAAGATGCCAAAATGCATTAGTATGATGAGCTTGAGAAGCTGGCCGACAAGGCTAACTTCCGAAAATTCTATGAAAATACAACACCTGAGACCCGAATAGACGATGATTGAAAAGACTTTCCATTATCCGACAACGATAAGGTTCGAATGGGGCTAAGCTATCTGCATGCGTCAAATAACTTATAAGGCCTCATCAGTGTGGTTTTATCCCTGCTAAATCCCCCATTGACAGAAAAATATTGGAAAGGACTTGTGAGAACATAATCGATACACATCGTCTTTTCATTGATTTTGAGGCTTCCTTCGACAGTACGGTAAAGAGCAGCCTCTCCGTCGATATGTCTTAATGCCGTAAACTGACGCTGAATAACAAAGCAGCGAATCAAATGGGTTTGGTAGTGTACGAAGATAAGACGAAATAACTCTTGTGAACAAAAAAGAAGTCGGCGCCTTTACTGATTGGCTCCCACGTCACTTTTGACAGTAACAACTTCGAGGTCTAAACACCAACAATAATAACAGCCTTGAATTCCAAGGCAGAATAGCTCTTAACAGTACCCCACGGAATAAGCAGAGGAAGAGGAAAACCTACACTCTGTTGGTAGGATCAGGTGCAGTGCGTCCTGGTTTCACTTGGTATTTTCAACTGGTGCCAAAATTCACAGAAAATAACCTAATGACATGCCAATGAAAAAAAAAATGCCAATGAATGACATTTTTTTAAGAGAAGAGGGCAGAACGGAGAGTGAAGTGGCATACGAGGAGGGAACGGAACCATAAATTATTGCACAGAAATATATCTTTTCTAATGGAAGTTAATAAATATGTGTATAAATACTTTGCTTTCAATTTGCTTTCATAAAGTAATGCAAATAAGTCAATTTATTGAAATAATTATTAATATAATTATCTGGTTCATAGATATATTTCCCACCACTTTGATTGGAAAATATTTTCTTTAGTGGCTTTATTATAGTGCACAATTGAGAAGTTATTTGTTTAAATCAATAAATAATTGTATTGACACACACACACACATATCATTCATTCCACGTCCATTGGAAATTTGCGCTTCGCATTGCAGTCATTTGAAATGGATCCTTTGAAGAAATTACAAAGCCTGGCACCCACACAGGTTATTTCTATGAAAAGATATGGCGCAACGAAAAAGCTTTTACAAAAAAGAAAACTACAAAAAATCAAAACGGTTATTTTCGAGAATTTCAAAGGCTATTGTGATAATACTTCTATACATGGATTGAAATACGTGGTGAATAGGAGTCTACATCCGATTGAGAGGTAAGTAATAGATATCAATTTATAATTAATAAGGCAATACGATATATGTAACGGATGACCCAAGTACTGAGCGTACTTTTCACAACACCATCAGCCATCTTGATACTCAGTATTCATTACTGGATTCGACAGAACAGATCATGTCCAGCCCGCAGTGTAGACAAATTAGCGGCGTTGCTGAGAGTGTAAACGAAGGCCGTGGAGAATCGATTTGGCGCCGTTCGTAGCAACTTGGACTGACATATGGAATGACTTGTCGCATTATACGTCGAGATCTTAAAATGAAAGCGTACAAAATACAGTTTGTGCATGAACTGAAGCCGCTAGACCTTCACAAGCGTCATCACTTAGCTCTATGGTCTCTTGAAAAGTTCCAAGAAAAACCGACATTTTCGAGCCAAATAATGTTCAATGGGTATATAAACAAGCAAATTGCCACGTTTAGAGCGAAG